GTTAAAATGGCAAATTTTATGTGTATTTGCCATAATATAAACCATTCTGCTCAGTTTCAAAATATAGCCATGAAAGAATACGTATTATATGGATGCAATATCTGAAATGCCAAAAAAAAATATATAAGAGAAAAAGTAGACTAGTGGTCACTTAGAACTGAGAGAATTCTGGGGAAATGGGGATTGACTAAAAATGGCCACAAGTTCAAGTTTTCCCTTCAGGATGATGGAAATGTTCTAAAATCAGATTACAGTGATGGTTGTACAACTCTGTAAGCATATTAAAATTCAACAAATTGTCTCTTAAGATGTGAGTAAACATTATGGAATGTAAGTCATTTCCTAATAAAGTGTTTTATTTTATGCATGCTGTCTTTGTCTAGCAACACAGAATGTCTTTTGTGGAAGGCATATATAATAGGTATAAATTATATAGAGATTATAAGTAGTTTGCTTAACTTCGGCTGAACTATTTATCTCTTGTAACAAAGACTGGTTTTGTTTGCCATATGGCTCAATGGATGGCTGAGGATTTTGTTTCTATCATATGCTTTCTTTCTTTTTATGACTATATACAAAAATATGGGCACAAATAAGACAATTAATTATAACATCTATCTCCTAAAACATGATATTCGGCCAGCGCCGCAGCTCACTAGGCTAATCCTCCCCCTTGCGGCGCCAGGACACTGGGTTCTAGTCCCGGTCGGGGCGCCGGATTCTGTCCCGGCTGCCCCTCTTCCAGGCTAGCTCTCTGCTGTGGCCAGGGAGTGCAGTGGAGGATGGCCCAAGTCCTTGGGCCCTGCACCCCATGGGAGACCAGGAGAAGCACCTGGCTCCTGCCATTGGATCAGCACGGTGCGCCGGCTGCAGCGCACCGGCCACGGCGGCCATTGGAGGGTGAACCAGAGGCAAAGGAAGACCTTTCTCTCTGTCTCTCTCTCTCACTGTCCACTCTGCCTGTCAAAAAATAAAAAAAAAACATGATATTCATGTTGTGAGACCTTCTGAATACCCCTCTCAATTCAGGAAGCATTAAGACAATACATGGAAAAGTCAAAGTAATTTCAAATTTAAGGGCGGTAGTGTGACTAGGCCAGAAAACTGACTACACTATCACAGTTAAGTGGTAGATTCAAGAATGAGTAAGTGGTGCTACCATGTAGCTATGAAATCCCCCCCCCCCCGAAACCATGATAGACCAGCTCAACGCACCCAAATTTAGATTTCTTTTCTCTATTACCTGCTATGTTAGAGAAAATGATCACGAATTAAACTGTCTAAAAAAAGAACTCATAAGGTAGACTAACACAGAAATTTTTTCCTGGAGATATTTTAGTCATTGATTCACATAGCAGCTTTGTGATATAGGCCACAGTAATCACATTATTCCTGTTTCATTTTTGTGGATAAACAAAGACACAACTTCAATAGAGCTTGATACCCAAATAGAGATGGCTAGAGCAGGATGGCAAACCGTAGCCCACAGATCAAACCTGACCTGCTGCCTGTTTTTGTAAACCAACTTTTATGGGAACACAGCAATGCAATCCATTTATATGCTGTTTATGGTTATTTACATGCTACAATGGCAGACCTGAGTAGCTGCAAAACACCTCTGGGCCACAAAACCTGAAATTTTTACTTTCTAGTTCTTCAAGAAAAAGTTTTCCAACCACTGCAAGAGAATTAAAATCCAGTGGGCTGCTGATTATGCCACTTATTCTAATGTTTCTTGTCTCAGGAATAGGGAATAGGACATAAGAAACATGAGTTGGGATGGGCGCTGTGGCACAGCATGCTACACTGCCGCTTGGAATACCCGCTTCCCACATTTGGAGTGCCAGTTTCAGTCTTGACTCCTCTGCTTCCAATGTAGCTTCTTAATGCACCTGGGGAGGCACTGGATGATGGCCCAAGTTCTTGGGTCCCTGCTACTCATTTGGGAAACCTGGATGGAGATCCTGGCTCCTGGCTTCAACTTGGCCCAGCCCTGGCTGTTGTAGGCATTTGGGGAATAAAGCAGCAGATAGACGCTCTCTCCCTCTCTCTGTCATTCCGTCTTTCAAATAAATAAATACAAAAATAGCTAATTGTTAAAAAGATTTATTTATTTATTTATTTGAAAGTTGGAGTGACAGAGAAAGGGGGGGAGGAGAAAGAGAGAGAGAGAGAGAGAGAGAGAGAGAGAGAGAGAGAAATATCTTCCATCTGCTGCTTCACTCCCCAGATGGCTGCAAAGGCTAGGGATGGTCCAGGCTGAAGCCAGGAACCAGGATCCAGGAGTCAGAAGCTTCCTCCAGGTCTCCCATATGGGTGCATGCGCAGAAGGACTTGGGCCATCCTCCATTTCTTAGCCAGGCACATTAGCAGGGAACTGAAAAGGAAGTGGAGCTAGGACTCGAACCAGTACCCATATGGGATGCCAGTGATGCAGATGGCAGCTTAACCCATTGTGCCACAGCACCAGTCCCAATAAATATTTTTTGTTGTTTTTTAAAGATTTATTTATTTATTTGAGAGGTAGAGTTATAGGAAGAGAGAGGGAGAGATAAGGAGTGGACTTTCATCTGCTGGCTCACTCTCCAAATGGCCACAACGGCTGGAGCTGAGCCGATCCGAAGCCAGGAGTCAGGAGCTTCCTTAGGGTTTCCCATACGGGTGCAGGGGTCCATGCACCCGGGCCATCCTCCACAGCTTTTCAAGGCCACTATTAGTGAGCTGGATTGGAAGTGGATATGGGACGTTGGCACCGCAGGCGGAGGCCCAACCTACTACACTGCAGCGCCAGCCCCCATTAAATAAATTTTTAGGAAGAAAAAATAAACATGATTTAGTCAAGAGAATAGAGTGAGGCAAGGGGAAAAAACAAAGTAAGGATTATTTTTCTGGTTGTACCATTTGCTGTGTGATACTGGGAAAGTCACTTCAGCTCTCTGGCTGTCAGTTTCCACATTTGTAAAATAAGGGACTTAGGCTATTTGAATGCTAAGGATCATTTCAACTAAACTAGTATAATATATATAACTTATTTTATAGATTGGAAAGCTGAAGTAAGGGTATAAAAATCCTTAAAATTTTCCATTTTAGTTTTTATTCCTCCATGTACACAAAAACACTCTGAGATGTCTTAAATCTCTTTATCATCACATACACCTTAAAAGTAAGTAGTACACATACTGCCCTAATTCTATAGGTGAGGAAACAGGCAGTAACTTGCACAAGGTCATCAGCATGTACTTAATGTTTATGAACTGACAACATGGTATTGTACAAAATCAGGGGCCATGAACAATACTGCCTGTCATTCATGTAAGGCAGATCATATAAATGGTGGGTAGTTCTATGGTGAACAGGAGACTGAATGTCCTGTTTAAAGGGAGCAGCCTCCATCTAGCTAGAGCCAACTGCTGACACATAGGCATGTGGGTTTAATAAACCAGACTTTTAGATTTTATGAGAGGCTGGATATCTCAAATTTTACCATAAATATCCTAATTTTTAAGTATTGGCATCTGATTGATTTATTGAGAAACAGAGTGGGCTGGATTTGTTTTATGGGACTGCAGTTTGCCAATCTATGTGATGTAACTTTTGAATTGCCAGCTTGGTGAAGTAGACACATTGATGTCTCAATTTCAGCATGAACTCTAAATTAACCAAAGTAATGGTGAACAGGGAGAAATCACAACATGAGTATTACCTGATTTTCCATTGAAAATTCAACAGACAGATGAACAAATGAATGAACAAATAAAAACCGCTTTTCCCGGTCCTCTGGGTGGAGGTATTAACAAATAGATAAATAAGGAAGGCTTAAATAGGTGAGAGAGAGAGAGACAGAGACAGAGAGAAATTGACAGTGAGCAAGCCACTGATTCTATAACATTAAAACCAAAAATCTGTTTTTAAGTAATTGAGATAGGTTGTACTTATATGATGGGAAATCCAAATCATGATTAATTCACATAGAGGTTTTTAAAACGATGAGGATGGGTAAGAGTTATTGATTATAACTTTTAAAAGGAAGATATGACAATTATGAGGAGAAATTTATACTGTCAGCTTTTTAACTTATAGAAAGCCATTTGAGAATATTGTACATGCTTTGACAAAGAATAAATTAAGCTCCATTTAAAGGAAAGCTCTGACCTACTGGTGGTTACCAAGAGAATCAATAAAATGCCTAACTTTTCCATTCAAAAATAAAATGCCTAACTTTTCCACACAAAAAGGTGTTTGTGATGATAAATGTCAGTATTTTATTTTTTTTGAAGTAGGCATTAAAGAGGGTTGAGTAAAGATGGAGAGGAAAAAATAACCAGCATGTCCTAGGAATATTTTTAGCCTTAATGAAACAACTGCACCACTAATTGTTCCTCCACAAGGTGCTATAATTTTGAAGCTGATTTAGTGGACTAATTATTATTTCAAAGTTTAAATAAAATGATTAATGTTGTACTGGGAAAAGAACTTTAAGTAAAACAAATTAATTTTCCTCCTTGGCTTCAATTAAAAGTTCTAAAGCTATTTTTTCTCCCACTCACTGGGGGATAATCATTCTAAAGACTAAAATGAAATTTTAAAGAAGACAAGTTTAAGACAGTAATCTTAAATCCATGATGTAACTAGTAATGTTATGTTAGAAGACTATTGTGACATGTTCAAAACTAAGAATTTCCCACTGGTTACTCTCACTTCTGCCTTTCTTCAGCTAGAAGAAGCCCTCCCATACACCTGTAACTCAGATATACAGTACCTTGAGGCATAGCTTCAGGTTTTGTAAAAAGAATAAGTAGCCTACTCATATTTATATTTACTTAAGTTCTTCACTTACACTGTATTTATTTAAAATGATAAGAATCCGCATCTCTAAATAAGGATAGTATTATTGTGAGAATTAAATAAATTATATAAAGTACTTGATAACAGTTCTGAGCACACAGTAAGCACTCAACAAATATTAGCTCTTATTATTATACAACAAAAAGGTTACTCACTCTTTTGTTGAGACAAATAACAGGCCACAGGCTGCAACCCAGTGTGCAACAACAGCAGAGACAACCACACAGCAGCCATTTCACATTGACTGGGAGAGCCTTTTTCAAACATGAATTCACACGGCCAATGCTGGTCTTAAATTCTTCTGGGGCCACCTACAACAAGGGCACTACCTTTAAAAGTTTGTGGGCAGCTTTTTCATTATTTATCTCTAAACCTAAAGAAAATGTTTGTCTTATCACAAATGCCTCCTGGAATTACAAATGTCTAAATATATTTTCTTCCCATTTCACGCCATAAATATGTATCACATACTCTCTGATGACATTGGAAAGCAAAATAATGTGATATCATATTCACAGAACTTCCCCCCCAATGTTCAAAAACAATCCTCTGAGATAACCAATAATAAAATGACAGTGATAAAACTGATGGTAATGTATACCCTTCAAGCAATTGTGTGACCAAATATTCTCACTGTTAAGACAATATTATTTGTAGTCTGCAGTCACTCTGAGTTGAGTAAGATTAGAAGCACAATAAAACAAAAATCCAAATAATACTACAGGAAATGTAATTAAAATTAGACCTTGGCACTATTCCTGGATTACATTTTAAAAGGCATCTTTGCAATCTTTTCTCTCTGGCAAATTTTGCAACATATCAATTTTAATTAACACTTGCCATTGTTTGCAGAACAAAGTTACACCAACTAAACACAATACCTTGTGGTTACATTCAAAATGATGTGTTAAGATCAACATAATATGGACTCATAACTACTGTGAATTTTTCAAAGTTGAAATGTCTTTATATATATAAATTTAACATGTTGAATTACTACTTCCATTCCTGGAAGTGGTTGCTTCTGCCTCTGTAAACAATGACAAAGTCAGTTCAAAGTCATGAGCATGACAGGGATAATTAGATTTATACCAAAAATTCTATTTTAAGGTTACAAAATTGAAAGGTATGCTAAAAATAGTTTTTTCAGTGAAATCACATTTCTGAATGACAAAAATGATTCCCTTCCATTTAGAAAACTATCAAACTGTAAAATTTATGGGAAAAAATTTGCGCATCTGGCTGTGAAACCAAAAGTTAAAAAAACTGTTAGGAAAATAACCTGCTGGAAAGTAAAAACCCCATGATCATGGTAGGTTATCAAAAACTTAGAGCTTTACTACTCTTCCCAATAAAAATTTCACTAGCGGAATCAATGTATTACATTTTTTGTCTTTTAATAGATATACCTTAGAATCAACACTACAAAACATATACCTATATGTATTATAAAGCTGTGTGACCACAGAATTCAGCACAGTCATGATTAAAACATTAACTAAATGAGCTTCTTTAGAACTGCTCATATCATCCAATAAAGTTAATTGCTTAGCCCAGGAGTCTTATTTTCTTCCTAATGTGTTAACACTCAGTAGTTGTGAAATCATAAGGCTCAAAAATTTATCTGGGACAAAGAAACTAATTTTATTATCCATTAAGACAGACAGCAACAGGATGTAAACACAATCAGTGCATACAAAGAATTCCAATTAAATGATAAAATTTATCGTGTAAATATGGAAATAGATTGAGGATCATGCCTTATAGTTGAAAATTGAAGATGAGCTACATACATTAGACATAAATCAAGAGATCTGGACTCTAATAACTTATTGGCTATGAAAAATGCAAGGCAAAATCACTTAATTTTCCTGAATTTCAGTTTCCCATCTATAACCTGTTTTAGATACATCACGGAGAATGGAAATTAAACCTTAGAACGTTCTGATTAGAATGCTTTGAAAAAGGACATCTGAATCACATCTTGAGTAGATCTGAAGCAAAGCTCTCTTTTGTATGGAGTCTCACACAAAGGCAAGAGGATTGATCAAGTAACTGTTGATACTCCACAGTTCTGATACACAATTCATCATAAAAAGAATAATAATTTGCTGCATTTTGAATGTAAATTTAATGCTCTTCATGTCTTTAATTCCGCAGAGAAAAAAAGATGTCCTTTTTACAAAAAAGGTACCAAGTTCCTATCTTAAGATTCACCTCTCCAAACAGCAATAGTCAACTTCTTTTTTCCTGTGGAACCACACAGAAGTTAAAATAAGGAAAAATACATTTATATATTTAGCTCTAATTTGCAATGTAACATTATCAACTCTCTTTAAGTTGTATAACCAAAATCACTAACATATTTTTAAATACAGCCATTTTGATATAAATTTGTGTAAATTATAAAATAACTGTCCATTTACAAATTTAAGTGCCTGTAAGTCAAATTAGAATTTTTATTTAAAAGTAAGTATAAGCACACATGAAAAAGCTCAAAGTACAGCGAAGCATGAGGCTATGTGCAGAAAGAAGTCAGGGTAAAAGAATAGAAAATACGTTTATAAAAGCCTCAGAAAAGAAAGCTGTATTTCTGCAAGGGGTGACAAGTGTTAGAATTTTGAGGGAGACTAAACCTACAGAATAAAAGGGAAAAGGAAAATGAAAACTGGCTGCTTATTTCAAACATTGTGAAAGAAATAAATTATATTCAAAGGGATATAAAATTTATTTAGAAATGTCTTTTGTTACATGCTTCTGAAAGTAAAAACAAAAACATTCCTAAAGCATGACAATTTTCCTGTTTCTCCACCAACACTTTCCACTTTTAACATATGAATAGTCTCAAATTGTATTTTTTATGATAGACCAATTAAGACAAACTAAGCAAGTTAATAAAAATGAGAACTGAAATTCCTTAAAGTCACAATACAAATATATTGAAAAGAAAAACTTCTACTAGTATTTCAAACAAAAAATAAAATCTGCATTTTGGCTTTCAGAGGAAGCCAGAATTGTCTTTGAAAAAACAAATCTGTATTTGAATAACAGTAAAAGTCATAAAACAGAAAAAGGCATAGGAAATGAGAATTGGCTAACACCGGATTTGATTTTAAACAATGTGGAAGAAATGTTTAGTTAACTGCATAGAATCAGTGTTAATAACATTTGACTCATTTACTTCCGTATAATTGAGTATCTCCAGTAATGAAAGTTAGATGGAAGCTCCTGACTTTCTGGTTGAACGGTAGGTTGTAAAGAAACGTTTCATTCCTTTTGACTCTCTTGGAAAGAAAACCACATCATAAAGGCCGGGAGAAGGGTCATAATATTTTATAACAGGATGCAGGAGACTGCAAACAGAAGAAAATCTAAGCAAACCCCAGCAGGACTGATTTGCCTCCTTCAGTTGTGGAGGACACAACCCTATCAATCACTTGTCATATTGGATCACAATAGTAAAAGTTGATTTTTATGGCTCAAGATTACCAAAACTACACACTAATTTCCCCATAACACCATGCAATTGTTTCAAGTTAAGGGTCGGAAGCTGGAAGCTTTCATTTCTTTTCTAAAGTTCTACAGTTCTTTCATTTTCTGGCCACCACAATCTGTGTATCTACACCTGCTTGATATGTCCTATCATGACAGGAGGACTTAAAGTGAAATAGGGAAAATTATCTTTTGTGTGTTTAATATAAAAGATGATCTCTTTCTCCACATTAAAAGCATTAACACACAGGAGGCACAAAAGTAATACTGAGCCACGGAGCTTGTCAAAATGGCTTTATTTTTGCATTTAAGAATTCATTTTGCTTAGCCCAGAAAGGCATAAAAGCTATACAGAATCTCATCCATGCTGGAAAACTGATTTTGTAACAGGTGGATTTTTAAAAAAAAATTTAGCTATTGCATTTATTTATTTATTTATTTATTTATTTATTTTTTTGACAGGCAGAGTGGACAGTGAGAGAGAGAGACAGAGAGAAAGGTCTTCCTTTTGCCGTTGGTTCACCCTCCAATGGCCGCCGCGGCCGGCGCGCTGCGGCCGGCGCACCGCGCTGATCCGATGGCAGGAGCCAGGAGCCAGGTGCTTTTCCTGGTCTCCCATGGGGTGCAGGGCCCAAGCACCTGGGCCATCCTCCACTGCACTCCCGGGCCACAGCAGAGGGCTGGCCTGGAAGAGGGGCAACCGGGACAGAATCCGGCGCCCCGACCGGGACTAGAACCCGGTGTGCCGGCGCCGCAAGGCGGAGGATTAGCCTAGTGAGCCGCGGCGCCGGCGCATTTATTTATTTTAAAAAATATTTTAACCTGAAGGCTAGTAAATTCAGAATTTGATTTTTTCTTAAATTATTTTTCAGATTCATGCAAATTCTCTTTGCTTTTTCACCCAGTCAATAAGGAAGAATTTTGATAATCCAAAGTAACCTATACAAATGAAACAGTGCCTACTAGGAAAAAAAATTACCTTGTTAAAGAGAAAATTAATAAAGTTAATGTTACCACCCTGTGACCCTTACAAATCAGACACTGAGAATTCCTTTTGTGTTTTCTCATCACCAAACACACATGAGAAAAACACCATAGTATCATTCATGCCTTACAAATATATGAGAAATTTTACATACTATAAATAATGCACACTTCAATAAACATGCATGCATCATCATAGTATATGTTACAAAAGCAGTCATCTGAAAAGAATGGATGACTTTTAAGAGTGGCTCATAGTCAGATCATTTAGGTTATGTTAACACACAACAAAAGCCTACTTACCATTTTTACTCCTCTAATTAAAAAGCAATACTATCTTTTGGGTCACTAGAATTTTAAGTTTCAGAAGGCTTGGAAAGAAATATGTAGGTGTGAAAAGATATTTCGAAGATTTCTTGAGCACATAAGACTAGTTAATTTTTTAAAAATGGGTAACTCTTAAGTCTGGGAACTTTATTCACTGACATTTCTTAGGTTATTCATTTTCTAAAATTTCTTGGACCTAGAATTCAAACCTTTTTTTTTTTTTTTAAAGTAAGTCAATACTAAAGCTGGATGTAACAATCCAAAAAAAAACACATGTAATAGCATCAAGGAGAACAAAAAAAAAAATAAGTTTTCCGCTGGAGATATTTTAATTCATGTTCTCTGTCATTTTAATATTGAACTTACCACTTTCTACCAATATGTTATTATTCAAGAGATATTCCCACATCTGTTTTTATTCATTTGGAAAAAACATTTATAGTTAACTCATATATAAAATCTAAGTATAAACTGCTGCTGCAATTCGTGAATTATTCTACTATTATTATTCTACTATAATGGTGGAGAACCTTATTTTTGCTAAGGGTCATTTGGATATTTATAATATAATTCACAGGCCATACAAAATTATCAACTTGCAAATTAGCCTGTTACAGATTTATAGAATTTTGAGTCCTTCCTGAGGTTGCCTTGGCAGGGAGGGCCAGACCAAACAATTTTGCAGGCCTTATATGGCCTATGGGTTGGACCTTCCCCCACGACTGTATCTAAATGATTAGAGTAGGAAGATAGAACATACAATACATCTAAGGGTTCTTTGGGTCCTAAAGAGTTAAAGGACCACGTATCTTCTAATGTTAACCAGGGACTATGATCTCATGCTTATTCTATGGAAGGATTTGATATTATATCTTAGGAAAGACAAAAATGGTCAACAGGCAATAGGACAGATTAGTTGGGACTAAAGAATAAATTATTACTTAGATTAAGAAAAGAGTAGCAAACACAATTAAAAATTCAAAGTTAGTGAACTAGCAAAATAATCAGGCTGAAACTTGGATACACTGATGGAAGCATGGTCAACAGCAATCACAAAGTAACACTGGGAAGCTACTAAGCACCTGACAATACAATAGGAATTTCATATATGTTCTCTCAATTAAACCCTTAAAACAGGAAGTGAGAGCACTATCAGCATCATCTCTATTTTTCATGCCAGAACTGATTCCAAATAAATAAATAAATCTTAAAAAAAAAAAAAAAAGACCTAAGGCACAGAGAAGTGATTTGCCCAAGGCCATATAGCCAGGAAGCAACAGAATTTGGAGACAAATGCAGATCTGACAACAAGGTTTATTTATTTTACTCTTTCTCAAAACAGATTCCATTTTTCAGGGGGAAAATGAAGTAGATAAAGTGTAAAATACCTACCAGGGTTAAATTATAATTTCTCACAATAATTAGAGACACATTATCAAAGAAAGAAAGAAAGAAAGAAAGAAAGAAAGAAAGAAGCTGCCTTTTTCTCTCCCTCTTCCTCTAAAGTGGCTGGGGAGAGGGAGGGCCAAGAGGTTTCTGGATTTAGGCCAAAAGCAAATAGAGTAAGCAGATAGAAAATGCATCATGAAAAAAAGAAAATACTCATAGAAGCATCTCAAACTATTCTCAAAAGAGTTTAGCATGAGAGGACAAAGTAAAAGTAGAGTTTGAAATGTAATCTAGTCACATGGTTAAAAAAAATCAAAACAGTCTTAAAAGATATTCAGAAAACAGGCTCATCCTCATGCCTCTTCTCCCAGCGAGGGGAATGACTTTTCTCAGTTTCATGTATATATTTCTACATTCTCTTTATGTGCAAATACAATTATTAATATGCTGATTTTCCCCATCCATTTCCTATATACACTATACACACTGAATTGTACCTCATTTTTCTAACAGTATGAGAAAAATGAACATTATCCTTTAGAGAATGGAATGATTTTAAAATATGACCAAAATCTATTCTAACATCACTATGCCAGTACTAAAATTAAACAAAATTAAATTAAATTATAGGTTCCAAAATATAAAACGTCAATTTCTTTTAACCTCAAATCATAATTTAAGCTACCTAAGCATTCAGCTATTAACCATTTAGGAATTACTGAGTATTTTGCAGTCCAAGGTCTTTTCATCTTCCTTGTCTTAAATAACACACAGGTGTAAATAAGGTTTTGCCTTAGTCAGACTTCTTCTTTGAGCCTAGATAGCTACCATTACTACTGTAAGAGGATTCTCCAAATATAATTTTTTTTCAAAAAATTGTGTATATTTAAGATGAACAACATGATGTTTTGATATATATGGTAAAATTATTATTACAGTTAACCAAATTAACATACCCATCTCTTCACATAGTTACCTTTTTTTGTAGTAAGAGCACCTGAAATCTATTCTCTTAGAAATTTCTGTCATATAATATTTACAACTAGAGTCATCATGCTGTACATTAGGTCTCTAGATTTATACTTTTGAATTTAGGGAGTCTTTAATTTCAAGCTTCAATGATAAAAGATACTACTAAATGTAAAGGAACCAGAGAACAGAGAGGTTATATTTTTTGCAGTGAGTCCAATTTTAGAAACTTAAACTATGGAAAAGGCAGAAAATTGTGTAGCCAGAAATTTTATTCTATTCGCATATAACAAATCCTACTACAGGGTACTTTAAAAATAATGTAGTTAAAATACAGTTAAAAAATAACATTGCTAGCTCTAAAAACATTGGTAATTACTGACTTAAATGAAAACAACTGTAGATATCTTTGCTGAGAAAAAAGGCAAAACTGGAAAAGATGAACAGATAAACAACACTGGTATTAATGAATAATGGACAACATAAGTAGTCATAGCTGGTAGTCATGGAGACAGCTTTTAGTCACTACCAATCCAGTTTCCAAGCACGGAAGCCTCTTGTTATTGACTTCATTACTAATGAGTAAGAGCATCTGTCATAACACTGAATAAGCCATAAAATAAAGCTTTCATATTGAAAAGTTCAAAGCAAACTCTCACTTACCTTCCCTGTTAGAACTGAAGGAAATTCAGTATCAAACTTGTTGCTCAAGCCAAACCTTAAAAACAAAGACAGAACAAAATATATTCTATCCAGCATATAAAATTCTTCCCTTGTTTTAAAACTGTTACTAACCTGTACATTTTTTGTCTTTTGATTTATAAATGTGTCCTCAAACAATTTTTATGGAATACTTACAGAACATAAATCCAAATTAATAGTAAATGAAGCTTAACAAGGAGCAAATGTTAAAGTGGGATTCTAACTATACACCTGGTATGGAAATGTCATAACTTTTGGCTAAATGTTTCTGTTTAAAACCCACTTTAATAAATAATCTTTGGAGTTGGATGATAGATAGTATATGGAAATGCATTATGCTATTCTTTCTATGTTTCTGTATGTATGAAAATATTCCTAATAAAAAGTAGCCCTTGCCCCATTAATATAGCCTTTGGAACTATAATTTTTGTGACCAGTTACTATTCAGATACTCAAAGTCTGATCCTTACAAATGGCTTTCATGTATTTGTTCAACCAATTTGGAGAAAAAAGACCTAGTCTTTACAGTTCTTTCTTCCAGCAGGCCAACTGAAATATGTAATAAGTATAAGAAGTCAAAACGAATTTTAAAAGCCTTTGATAACCTACTTATTGATTTTAGCAGGAATAACATAGGTGACATCCTAAATGTTAAATGGTACTGTAACACCATGACTACCATTTTCTGTTAGTCAATGATAGGCTGAAAGTATAAAGGAGGGGCTGGTGCTGTGGCATAGCAGGTAAAGCTGCCACCTGCAGTGCCAGCACTGGACACTGGTTCAAGTCCTGGCTGCTCCACTTCCGATCCAGCTCTCTGCTATGGCCTGGGAAAGCAGTATAAGATGGCCCAAGTCCTTGGGCCCTTGCACCCGCGTGGGAGACCCGCAAGAAGCTCCTGGCTCAGGATTGGCACAGCTCCAGTCATTGCAGCCAATTGGGGAGTGAACCAGCAGATGGAAGACCCTCTCTCTCTCTCTCTCTCTCTCTCTCTCTCTCTCTCTCTCTCTCCACCTCTCCTGCTCTCTCTGTGTAACTCTTTCAAATAAATGAAATCTTTAAAAAAGAAAGTAAAAAGGAAAAGACACTCATTTTTATTAAAAACTCCATGTCAGGCAAGCAATAATCAGTGACCAGTAACTATGTATTTACCATGGGCTGGATATTGTACTAAGTAAAAAGCCTTCAAAAAAGTATTGTCATTCTCATTTTACAGACAAGAAAGCAGACTCTCCAAAAAATCCAAGTTAATGAATTAAATGATTTTCCCAAAATCATGTATCTAGTGGGTGGGAAAAAATCAAAATTCAAATACTGATCCCCAAGTCCTTTTTGTCTTGTATTAAACTCCTTTAATTTCACTAGTTTCCATCATGCCTAGTAGCATAACAGAATCTAGTAGGTTTTTACTAAAGGTTTGTTGAATAATAAGCTACTGTATTTTTTGGTTCAAATGATTTATAACACTTTAGTCTTAGCGACATTTTAAAAAATGTTAGGAATCCAATTAAAACTGTACAAGAATATCATATTCTTTCATCATTTATGATAATAGTTCAATTTCAAGGACACAAACCAGTTTTAAGCAGAAAGGCTCTCTTCTTAGCCATATATATATAGTGCATACTATACTTTATGTTTAAAATTTATTTTAAAACAAGCACTATTGTTAAAAAAGATTCATTTACTTGAAAGGTAGAGTTACAGAAAGAGAGGGAGAGATGGGGGAGAGGGAGGGAGAGAGAGAGAGAGGGAGGGAGGGAGGGAGGGAGAGAGAGAGAAATCTTCCAACACTGGTTCACTCCCCAAATGGCCACGATGGCTGGGGTTAGGACAGGATGAAGCCAGGAGCAAGGAGCTTCTTTCAGGTCTCCCATGTCAGTTCCAGGGCCCAAGCACTTGAGTCATCCTCTGCTGATTTTCTCAGGGACTTAAGTGGGGAGCTGGATCAGAAGTGGAGCAGCTGGGACTTGAATTGGCGGTGCCCATGTGGAATGCTATCATTACAGGCAGAGGCTTAACCTGCTACGCCACAACACTGGCTCCAAAACAAGTATTGTATTTCTAAATGGCTGTAAAATTTAATTAGCAGTTGTAAAAAGAACTTAAGTACATTGAAAAATCCTTCATTCCTTTCGTTCATGTGTCAGAACACGTAATGAGAAAGTAATATGCAAAAGCACATTCCCTTTCAACCTGTACATAGACACAGGAGTATTGCCAAACTTAAAACAAGATGGGACATTCTTATGCTGCCTGAGAAATTAACACTCTAGCATTAAACATATATTTGCAATTATGTGCTAATTCAACAATCAAAAACATTACCAATATTTAATAGACCAAGGAACATATTTCAGTTAACTCATTATTTAACTAGTTACATAGTGACTTTGGGTTGGGCATTTGGTGCTATCGATAAGATTCTACTTGGGACATGTTGTAGTGCCTGAGTTCCAGTCCTGGATCTGCTCCTTATTCCAGCTTCCTGCTACTGTGCACCCCGGGAGGTTGCAGGAGCTACACATGTGGAAGACCTGGATTGAGTCCTCAGCTCCTGGGCACTGGGGAGTGAACTAGCAGATAGGAGGTCTCACTGTCTCTCAAATAAAATTAATCAGTTAAAAACTAGTGAATTTATCATTAGTAAAAAAGATGTAATTTTAATAATTTGTTTTGACAGGCAGAGTTAGACAGTGGGATAGAGAGATAGAGAGAAAGGTCTTCCTTCTGTTGGTTCACCTCCCAAATGGCTGCCTCGGCTGGCGCGCTGCGCCGATATTCCTCCTGGTCTCCCATGCGGGTGCAAGTGCCCAAGCCCTTGGGCCATCCTCTACTGCCCTCCCGGGCTACAGAAGAGAGCTGGACTGGAAGAGGAGCACCTGGACTAGAACCCAGCGCCCATATGGGATGCTGGCGCCGCAGGTGGAGGATTAACCAAGTGAGCCAGGGCGCCAGCCCCCGCAGTTTTCAGTTTTAAAAAGTACATGTGGGCCGCGCCGCGGCTCACTAGGCTAATCCTCCGCCTAGCGGCGCCGGCAAACCAGGTTCTAGTCCCGGTAGGGGCGCCGGATTCTGTCCCGGTTGCCCCTCTTCCAGGCCAGCTCTCTGCTGTGGCCAGGGAGTGCAGTGGAGGGTGGCCCAAGTGCTTGGGCCCTGCACCCCATGGTGGCAGCCCGGGCAGCGCGCTTCTCGCAGGCGGGGCAGCCCCTGCTTCAGTTCTGGCTCCGCCTCTTTCAGAGCTCTCGTCCAACCCTTCCGGGCCTCACTTTTCTGTCGGTAAAATGGGGATGCTGAGCTCTTCGCCAGCAGTAGCTGAGCCTGGATCGCCTCCCAGGCTCGTTAACGACATAAGGTAGGGCAGAGGCCTGGGAAGACAGAGGAGTGGAGTGGGAGTCAGGATGCGAGAGGACGCGGGGTCAGTCTCCGGCCGCACTGAGCGTGTGGCTTACAGAAGCCTGGCTGCGAGGAAGCCACTGTGGATCTCTCCTTCCCTCCTCAGTGGGGGTGGGGGGAGCAGGAGAAGCTCCGCTTTTGGGAGTTGCGCAAGCCTCCAGGGCAATCACCAACTTTGACCGGAAGTTCAAAGAGAGCTGGGAGGACCCGGGGGCCTCCCC